ATCAATTAACATCCCTAATTAATATAGACTTATCTTCAACTTTCTTCTAAATTAACCTTAAATTCAGCACAAAATATCTCTTTTGCAAACCAATCCTTTAAAAAAAGTAGCAAAAATTCTTTATGATGGTTTTAAGGATTAAAAACTAATTCAGAAAACTATAAAAAAAAAAGCCAGAACATCCAAGCATCGAATAATTAAGCTTGAAAATCAAGCTTTCAAAACCCATGCCACCTTTTCTTCTATTTATATAGGATTGAAAAAAGAGAGTTAAACAAAGAAATAACTGAAAAACAGTCAAAGAAGCAATATTTCAAAGAATCTACTTCTTTTCTTCTTTTACACCTTGCGCTTAACATTGCTAGTATCATAACCTAATTTTGAGTTCTTAAAAATTATCATTTTTTATTAAAAAAAATTACAGAAGGACAAGCAACTAAGTGAACAAGAACAAACTAAAGAGGGATCTAAATGCTTACATGAGATATGGAATGATTAAGCTAGATTTTTTATAATATTGAAAACTCATTTGCACCCTTAAAGGACCTAAATATGAAAGACAATACAAATTCAAGGTTAGCTTAACTGAATATTGGATGAATTTGTATAAAAATAAGGTTTGGGGACTTGATTATATTTTTAATAGGTTGATTTAATTTAATCATAGGTCTAATTAATGATTTAATTAGGTTTAAAAATTAATTTAGGACAAAATTAAAAAAAAAATTAAGTGCAAGGACTGAATTGAATTTTTAATGGGTCAAATTAAATTTATTAAAAAATTAATTATGAAAATTAAGTTTGGAAGATTAATTTGGGATTAATTGAGAAGATTAGGATTTGGATGACTAAATTTCATTTTTACAACTTAATCAGATGAAATTAAAGGTGAAATTGCAAGAAAATCAAAGTTTAGAGGTCAATTAAGAGCTAAATTAAAGAATTTCAAAATCAAGAACCAAAATGCAATAAATGTGTAAGTTCGGGAACTAAAATCAATTAAAATCTGGGTTCAATTTGAAAGAAACTGAAAGTTTGATGGTTGATGGGGGTCAAATTGCATAATATGAAAGCCAAGGTCCAATTTTTTTTTTTTTAAAAAGCTCAAATCAAAGGAGTTAAATCAATATTTCCAAGGTATGATTGCAAAAATTAAAAAGTTTCAAGGTCAACTGATGGTACATATGTCAAAATTGAATTAACAGGGACCAAATTAAAGTTTTTAAAATCCTAATTAGAAAACCTTAATTTCTAGGATTTAAACAAAACAACATGTTAAGCAATTTAAATGGAAAAAAAAAAAAGGAGTAGCATGTTGTTCAGACCCTATTTACCGCCTTCTTCAGTCGAGAAAGCTGAATGAGCTGCCACATTCAGATGAATGAACGTGACATTTCTGACTACTACAGAGAACGTGACATTTCTGACTACTACAGAGACTCCAACTACAACCACTTGACTAAAAAAACTTCTCCTCTACAAAGACCAACTATCTTTATCAAACATGTGTACCTCGTTTGGTTCAATAAACTCGATATCTTGTCTTTGATTAACCACCTTTGCATTAATATATTTAAGCTAATCGAGAGATTACCTTTCAATCAATAAATATGGAGTTATAGAACATCAAATCAAAAGTGATTTGATCCTCATGGTGTATATATATATATACCCTCTACAAGATTCGGATCTTTAAATAAATCATTTATGTCTTAATCTCCACAATGATCTTGAAAAACTACCCAACCCAATCATTCATAAACGAAGAAAATTTTGTCATAACAGAAAGACTCTAAAGTTGTTTTCTCATATGTGATTTTTGTTTATAAGAGGATAAAAAGAAGCTAGGGACCCTCTATTTTCAAAAATGAAGGTTTTTGAGTGGAGAATAAGAATGAACATGATGGTTTTGTCATTTTTTGTTTGAATTTGTCTATATAAGTTATTTGGTTTTGAGCACAAAAAAAGATCACAGGAACGAACGGGAGAAATTATAAAGAAAAAAAAAGAGAGAAAGCTTAGATAAAATTAAACTATTAAAATCTCTTGATAAAAATGTTATAAAATGAAAAGAAAAAGGTAGAATGTAGAACTTGTGAATTTCTAATTGGAAGCAGAAATACCAAGGATCTAAAACTTGAAAAAGAGGCAAGAAATTCCAAACAAAAGAGGAACATTTGTTAGTCAAGGTATATATCAAACTTTCATGAAAGGGTGGATCTCAATGAATACAACCCCTCTATTTTTTCTTTTAAATTGTTGCTCAAAATATTTATTAGGCATCACATGATATTTTTTCTAGTTTAAAAGTCATGAATACTTGTTTTAAAATGTTTAAGTATTCTTTGAAAATAGTTTGTGTATGCTCAAGTCTTATTTATTTGCCTTGTTTGATTTTTAGAATGTGATAATGGAATGATATATAATAATATACAATGTTGTTTTGAATGCTTAAATGTTTAATTAATTAATTTTAAAATCATGACAAGATATGTCAAGTGTTGATGTCGTTGTGGTTTAGTCTATCTCAAGGCAGTTTGTTAGGTTTCTATAAGTTGTAAGCTTAAGGTTTAAGCTTAAGAACATTGAAAGTAATTAATGGAATAACATTTATATATAGAGTTATACAGTTTTTGCTTGTTATCAATGTTTGGGTTTGCTTATTGTTTTGCTCTTGATTTTTTATTTCTTATTGTTTTGATGGTTCAAGCAAATTATTTTAAGCATGCTTGAGTTATGATAACAAGTTCTAGATTATTTTTTTCAGGTCTTTGTGCTTTTTTTTTTAAAATAAAATAAAATAATTGAATTTTCTATGTTTCTGGGTTTATGTTCTTCTATTGATGATTGCTTTAGGTTTATGTTTTCTAAGTTATTTTGATTGATTGTTAATTCTTACATATACGTATAAGCTTGTTGATCACTAATCTAAGATTTTAATGGCTTAAAATCACCAAAATCTTAGCATTTGATAATTGGTTCTTCATTTGTATATTTTAAAAAATTAAATTAAATAATTGATTGGTTGTTTGTTGTAATAATTCAAACTCAATTTCATGCTTGAAAGATGATTTATATATTTATGTGCCTTAAAATTAATGTAAACTAGTATTAATTTGAATCCATGTTTCTGGATTCTTCCAATGTGTTCTTAATCAATTTCAAACAAAAACATTGTTTGATTTTCATTTTTTGTTTGTATTTCTAGATTATGTTTTAGGGTTTGGGTTTTGAGCCAAAAAGTTCATCCCACATGGTTGGGCTAAGCCCTTTTCGAAGTTAAAAATATGTTTGACATGTCTATTTTTTATATAAAAAATGCATTTTCTTGTCCTTAAGACGCACTTGTCAAATATGAACTTAAAACAATTTCTAAGCTTCTAAATTTTTGTTAAATGTGTGTTTGACAAACATACCTTGCTAGTTTTTCAGTGGTGTTTCTTTTTTTTTTTTTTTGGTTTTGGTAAACAAATCTCAAATTATTTCCAAAAATATAGAAAAACTTCAGGTACCATTTTAGAATTATTTATGGGTCCCTCCCATGTTTTTCAATCTTTTCATATAATATTTGGATTGTAAACTTACACTGTAAAATACTGATCCAATATTAAATATATATGTTTTTCTTTAAAATTTCAAAGAAAATTAACAAAAACTCCTTATTTAAAAAAAATATAATTTATTTTTTATTTGTGTACAAACAATTAATTTCTAAAAAATTTCATGTATATTTATAAAAAAATAAAAATTATATTTTTATCATACTTCAAAAAAAAAATTGTTAGTCAGTATCATGACAAGTTTGTGATTATCCATTAAGATTTGATTAAAATTTCAAAAACATCATTAATTTTTTGGTTTTATAATGGTTAAGTTTTAGTCTGATAAAATAGGGATCTCTTTATTAAGAAGGATTTTACACAAACTAAAAAATAGAAACATAACTTAGAAAAAAATAATTAATCAATAATGTAGCTTAACATAGATAAAATGCACTAGGGGTGATGTGTTTTTTCCATACACAACTAATGCATTTACCTAGACTTTTACAAATTATCATGTTTCTTAATAATCATAGTAGTATGTGGCGACGCTTAAACCCTTCAAATCAAAATTTTATGATTTATCCTAATACATCCTGTCGCTACATGATGTCGGGCGACGACTCTACTTTTTTTTTTTTTTGTTTAACAAAAAGAATAATTGTTTTTTTTTCTTGATTAGGGGAAATAAAGATTTTATTCGAGTCGCCATCTAGTAATTTGAGGGAACTAGCAATCCAAAATTAGACACTGGTACCTGAATCTCGGTCCCAAAGATTCAGGTACAAGGTTAGTTATGATTAAGGGAAGGTAGACACCACCCTTAAAACATCCTTTCAGAGAAAGGTTACCCTTACTTGTGTGTTTTTTATTTGATTCAAATGCTATTATATTTTGAGCTTATTTGCAAATTTTTTAAGATGGTTAACGTTGGTCCCTAAAAATAGATGACACGTTAAAAATGATATCAGTCCCTAAAACTAGGAGATTTTGTCTAAAGTATCGACGTTTGTCCCTAAAAAGGAGAGTTACATCTGATTTACTAAAAGAAATAATAATGGACATAATCCATATTTGGTATTTAAATTTTTGACATTGGTCTTTTTTTGTAAATAAAGAAGACGTGTCGACAAATAATATTTATTTTATAAAACAAAAATTATTTTGATATC